AGTATCAACACAACATGGTATATCAAATTGTAGTAAGACTAAGCACCTCCCCAGGTATTAAGGCTGGGCCAGGAGACTCAGTGTGGGCAGTAGGGTCCCCAAAGCCAGTAAGAGAGTTAGAGACAGCCCCTGTTCCCACTGTTAGTAGCCCCACAAGAGGGCTAGGCTGCATAACTAACATATATGCAGAGTGCCTAGGTCAGTCCCATGCATAGGTTAGTTGATTCTGTGAGTTTTCTTGTGATGTCCTTGACTCCTCTGGCTCCTATAATCCTTTCTCTCCCTCTTCTGCAGGATTCCCCGAACTTGGCCTTATGCTTGGCTGTGGGTCTGCTTCTGTTTCCATTAGTTGCTGGATGAAGCCTCTCTGATGACAATTGAGCTAGGTACCAATCTGGTCACAGGGGATGGCTAGTGAAGGCTATGTATCTTCTATTGCTGCTTAGCTGTGGTCATCCTTGTAGATTCCCTCGTACCAGGTTTTTACCTGATCCCGAAATGCACCCCATTTTCCAGTAGTCTCTTTCAGTACTCTGCCCCTCCATCTTCCCCACAACCTGACCACTCATCTTCCCATCCCTACCCTCCCTCAGTCCACTCACAAAGTCTCTTCTATTTCCCCTTCCAGGGCAATTCTGGTATCCTCCCATAATCCCTCCTTGTTAACTAGACTCTCTAAGTCTGTGGATTGTAGCATAATTATCCTTTATAAGTGAGTACATACCATGTTGTCTTTCTTGGTCTGGGTTACCTCACTCAGGAAGACTTTTTTCCTAGTGCCATGCATTTGCCTTCAAATTTCCTGGTGTCCTTGTTTATAACAGCCGATTCATAAATGTACCACGTTTCCCTTATCCTTTCCTTGGTCAAGGGACATCTTGATTGTTTCCAGGTTCTGACTATTACAGAAAAGTTGCTATGAACATAGTTGAGCAAGTGTCTTTGTGGTATTATTAAGCATCATTTGGGTATATGCCCAACAGTGGCATAGTTGGGTCTTGTTGACAGATTGATTCACAGTTTTCTGAGATACCACCACACCAACTTCCAAAGTGGTTGTACAAGTTTGTCCCTTGTATCCATGATCTCTCCAAGACTTTTATCATGAAGGGATGTTGGGATTATTTTCTAAGGACTTTTCAGCATCCTAGGAGATGCTCTGTTGGGATATTTACTTAATTAGGCTGCATTTGTTTAACCAGTAAAGATGTGTTGCTTTGCTTGCCTAAGGCACATAATTGGTTTGATAAAAAGCTGAATGGCCAATAACTAGTCAATAGAGGGATATACAGGGCTGGTGGGCAGAGAGAATAAGTAGGAGAGATAATCTAGGTTTGAAAGAGAAAAGAGAATGATGGAGAAAGACAGCCACCAGCCAACCAGAAACAGAGCAGACATACAGAATGAAAGGTAAAACGCCCAGAGGAAAATGTAGATGAAGAGAAACAGGAGAATTTAAGTTATAAGAACTAGTGGGACAAGCATAAGACAAGGCTGAACATTCATACCTACTAGTAAGTGTCTGTATCTTTTTTTTTTTTTTTTGGTTTTTTTTCGAGACAGGGTTTCTCTATGGCTTTGGAGGCTGTCCTGGAACTCGCTTGGTAGTCCAGGCTGATCTCAAACTTACAGAGATCCGCCTGCCTCTGCTTCCCGAGTGCTGGGATTAAAGGCGTGCACCACCAACGCCCGGCGTCTGTATCTTTATTTGGGAGTTGATTGGAGGCCCAGAGAGAAAGCCTGCTAAATTTGGCATTCCAATGTGGGCCCAAATATCAAAATAGGGCCAGAGAAAACTGAAAGAACAAAACAAAACAAAATCATAAAAATTTTGGATTAGGCTCTCTTAAGAGGTTTTGTCATACAGGGAGCACTTGATTATCCTTCTCGTTAACTAGAAACAACAAGCTAAGTACGAAATGCCTGAAATATTCTTAATTTTGGTATCTGGTATCTATCAGGAAATCTGTCCATTTCTTTTAGATTTTCCAATGTTGTGGAGTACAGGTTTTTGAAGTATGACCTAATGATTCTCTGGATTTACTGTGAGTCTGTTTTGTTATATCCCCCTTTTCATTCCTGACTTTGTCGACTTGGGTATTCTCTCTCTGCCTTTTATTTTGTTTGGATAAGGGTTTATCTATTTTTTGATTTTCTCAGAAAAGCAACAGTTAGTTTCATTAATTCTTGTATTGTTCTGTTTCTGTTTTATTGATTTCAGCCCTCAGTTAAAAAGAAAAGGAAGTTAGCTAAGTGTGACCCTGACAGCATGCCAACCAGAAGCATTCTTCGACCGTTCTCGTCTCCACGTTTCATGTTTCTGTTCTGACTTCTCTCAGTAATGTAATGTATTGTGTCCTTCAAAAGTGTAAGCCAGACGAACCCGTTCCTCTTCAAGTTGCTTTGGTCAGAATCTTGTCCCAATACGGACTGAAACTAGACTAAGAGATAAATCCCTATTGCTAGACCATATCTCCTGAAGATTTCACTACCCCCCCCCTCAAGAATTCCATGAGTTGAGGAGCAAGCCTTTATTTGTGTGTCTTTGGGTGACATTCTGAATCTAAATTATGAGAAACTCACTAATGATTGTTTCACCATGGTGTGTTGAGCTGCAAATACAACATATTCTGTGTTAGTATGAATATGTATCTATCTCCCTGCTGGTCATGTATATGTACTGAGTTTATAGCATCACCCAGTAATAAGGTCCTGTAGCTAGTCTGCCAAGTTGTTTTTATTAATTGTTGTAATAGGTGACACAATTTTAAGATTAAGAACATATTTTATGACTCCCTAACTTGGTTGCAGGACATTAAAAAGAAATCACACCGAGTCTGTGCTGGATAATTTTCTCCATGTTGGCCAGCTTTCATAGTGCCAAAGGGTGTTATGAAAGCTCCTGAGGAGAAATGTCCTCAACAGTCGTCTCTAGCTATGGATTTGATGAGGCACTCTGAGCTTCCTCTAAAGATATACCCACTGGTGTAATAATGACCTGATGTTATGGGGAAAACAACTTTTTTCTGATTGGATTTGAAGTCAGCTTTACAGGAAGGGACTCATGTAAATCTGACAAGAGCATCTGTGGATGGCAAAGTCATCGGCTCTCGCTGAGAACCTATTACTGTCATTTTGCTAAATGGATGAATCATTGAGCTGCCTTCTAACTACTTATGCTCACACTCATAGATGAGGGCTGCTGTCAGCCTGTAGCAGAGAAGCTGCTTTTTACAGTATGCAATCATTAATGCAGAGGCTCACAACTGGTCAATATGGAGTTCTTGGCTTTAAATGGGGCATCCGTATCACTTCCTGTTCTAAGCCTCAGGAAATATCTCAGGAGAGGTGGGTGAAAAAGAGTATAGGAGCTGCAGGTTGGAGAGGATTTCTTCAAGATAGCATCTCCTGGACATGGCATAGCCCTCGCACTCAGGAACTCACTAAAACTGTGATCATTTGCACAAGATCTGCACAAAACTGGCCTTCTGCTGGTTTTATCCTGCATAGCCTAGGAGCTCATGAAGCCCTACCCCTTAATGGGGGTTTCTATGTGCTGTAAATGGGTGCTGAAGGGGATGGTGTAATTTTCTTTAGTGGCGTAGTCACTGACAAATCACCCATATTTCAGTAATCAACCCCTCCCCCCAAAAATAAACTGAGTGGGTCAATAGGAAACCAAAAGTCATCAAAATAGGAGGAAGGGTTTCAGTGGGGGAGAACAACAGATAAGGGAAAGGGGGATGAAAGCCAGTGTGTACATGTAGGAAATTGTTAAAGATTAAAAAAAAGAAAGTTAATTTTTATACTAAAAAGCAAACAACCTATTTTCTGAACAAATAAGCTGCCAAAGCTGGAAAGAAATGTCTATGTTCCTGGAAGCACTAGCGTGGGCAGGGGAATTACCGAATCTAGCTAACCTGAGAAGTGTATCTGATATGAAGATAGAAAGTATGATTTGGGGAGTTTATAGACAACAAACCATTCATCAGTGGTTTGGGGGCTGTTTTGTAGCCTGGCGTCTGAATATTGTATATGCTCAAGCTCCCATATTTTTCATGTCCAATCTGTTGTTTCTTTTAAGCGTCCTACTGGATTATGAACAAAATCCTAGGTTTCCACAGCAACTACCACCACCATTCCTTTGTTTTATAGAGATATAGTTTTGTAATTTCATGTATACAATACATTAGATCATATTCACCCCCAATACTCCATCTCCCCACTCCCTTCCTTTAAAAATGTTGATTTAAAAATTATTTTATACGTATATTGTTTGCATGCATGCGTGTCTGTGAACCACAGATGTGCAGTGCCACGGAGGGGACACAGGACATCAGATCTCGCGGAACTGAACTTAAAGCAGGTTGTGAGCCACCATGCAGGCATTGGAAACTGAACCTAGGTCCTCCTCCACCAACTCCCATCTCCAGGTCTAAAATATCAAAACAAAGAACAGAAAAAACGGAGTCTACTTTTTGCGGTCTATAGTTTCACGGGTGCATGTTGAGCTATCCTCTGGAGCATGGCTACACCCCTAATGAAATTGACTTTCCAGCTCCCAGAAGCCATTTGTCCACAGCTCCTTAGCTAGGGATGAGGGTTCGGGAGCTGCTTCCAGCCTGTCACGTGGCATTTCCTCAGTAAGGCACTTGACCGCCCTGTAGTGAATTGTTAATTTGTGTTCTGTCACGTTATGAAGGGCCATCTCTACAGGCAGGCAGTGCTAGGAAGGCTGCAGGCGCTCAACAGATGTTAGTTGCTGTAAGAGAACAGTTTCTAAAAATTCCATCCAGTTGACACTTGTCAACCTGCTTTCAGTCTGGCTTCCCTTGTTCTGCCTTTATTGACAGCCTTTTAACACTTTGTCCCCTTTACTCTCCGAGGTCTAGGTTCAGAGAGGTATGGGTCTCCTCCTGGATTCGCCCCTCCCACCGCCGCGTCGGCGAGCTGACGTCAGGCGCAGCCGGGGCGTTCCCGTCAGGCTCGCCCCAGAGCCTGAAGTGTCTGTCGTTCAGGTCGGAGGCCTGCCTGGGTTTTGCTGGTACTGCCGAATGTCAGGCATCAAACGCCGATCTCAGCTGGCTCCTGGTCTCCAAGCCCAGAGCCTCGTTATCCTGCACGAAGCCAGCCAGCCGCGGCCCCGCCCCCGGGCGCTGGAGGTGGTTTCCTAGGGAACGACGCTGCGCGCCGGCCGCGATTGGACCAGGCCGCGCGTGCGCAGTGGTCTGTGTTGGTGGCGACCCGCCGTGGGTGCCGGGTTTGCTAGCTGCACAGGATGGCCCATTTCTCCAGCGACGATGAGGTGATGCTGCAGGCGATGCTCAGGCAGCTGTTCCAGAGCGTGAAGGAGAAAATCACCGGCGCTCCGTCCTTGGAGTGCGCAGAGGAGATCCTCTTGCGGCTGGAGGAAACTGACGAAAATTTCCACAAGTAAAGTCGAGTTTTAAGTTTTTAAGCAAACAGACCTCTGGTCCAGGAAAGGTGAAAAGGATTCGGACACAGAGATTCACTTGATTTTTGTTAAAATAGCTAATTGGTGGTCCCGTGGTTCTATCATTTGTCCCAGTGCCCGATTTGTTTTTTCTTCACTTTTTAAAAACTGGTTTTCCAGAGCCTCTTCCGCCTACTTGGATCCCCGTCACTTTTTCTAGAAGTAGTGACCCCCAAGATCCCTGTGTGCGGATCTGTTACTTCACTACCTGCTGTAGTTAGCCACTCAACACTGCAAGGCTGAAGCAGGTCTGGGTGCCCGTGTAGGGGCAGGGCGCCCATGCATGCCCCGTACCCGTTGACAAGAGGCCTGCCCAGCGACGAGGAGAAACGGAGAAGTGAAGTTGTCAGGTGCTGGCAGAATGGCCCTGAGAATATAAACGCTCCTTAGACTTAAAGATCTTTACAGATCTGTGCGTTTGTTTGGAGTATGTTCATATACCGAGTTAAGCCTCTCAGTAACAAAGTCTATCTCCAGGCTCCCAGCTTATGATAGGTTGTAACTTTTAAAAATCCAGTGCTTGCATTTCCTTTGGTCTCACATTTTTTTTGAGATGTCATTTTTGTCTGATAATTTACTTATTCATTCTGGTGCCCGGGATGGGTTCCAGGGTCTCCTATATGATAGGAGGCATTTTATGGTGGTTTTATTGACTTTTGGATAACTTGAAGTTCAGTTTTTCTGAAATGGGTGTTAGAGGTTCGTTCCTTCAGGCCTTTAATGTTCTGTGTAAAAAGTTGTTTACTTGTTGTCTATGGGGTGTCCTTTACAATTTCCTCAGGTTCCCAAGGGAATTTTTAAAAAAATGTATAGAATCACTGTAGAGTTTCTAATTTCATACTAAGTTTTGAAACCTGCTTGATGTGTTGACCAGGCTAGCCTGAAAGTTGCTATTCTATTTCAATATCCCAAGTGATGCTGAAAACCCCACCCAGCTTGATTTTCTTAAATTTATGGTTATGCTTTTGCCTTCCTTTATCTTTGCTTGTTTCTGTATTATGTCACTGCTAATTTCAATTATTGAACAATAACTTCTTTAGATACCCTTGCAGTCAGTTTTAATCATAAGTTTATTTGAAAAGCACAGTATAGAAATTGGGCAACTTCTCAAATAAAAGTGGGATTTATTAAATATCCATTTGCTTGGTTTTCGTTTGTGATAGGATCTCATTGTGTAGCTCTGACTGGCCTGGAACTTGCTGTGTAGACAGGCCTGGCCTAGAACTAACAGAGATCCACTTGCCTTTGCTTCTGGAGTGCGGAGATGATAGGTGCACACCACCACACCTGACACATTTGTACTTTAAAAGTAGTAAATAAGTATTTTCAGTATTGTGTTTTGGGAATTTTTCCATTTTATCTAGATTTTCAAACTAACTTATAGAAAGATTTTCATTAACATCACATTACCTTAATATTTCTAAGGTTTGCAATTATATCTTCCTTTTTGTCATTCCACATTTAAGAAAAGCTTGTTTGATATACTGAGTTTCTTGGTTATTAACATTTTTATAAGAGGATGGCGTTGGAGACAATTGAGTCAGTAAATAATATAATTTCAGGTATAATAAACCAAAGTGGGAGACTGTGGTCATTGGAGGAGAAACTGATACAGGCAATACCATCCCAGAGACTTGTCACGTAGCCTGTCTCTTACTTCAGCAGCAGCTTCTGTTTCTCTCTCCAAGCTGTCTATACTTTGATAGACCATCCATTTCTCTTCCATTCCTTTAATATGGCAGAAAATACTTGAGGCCTCTAGAAGGGGAGAGGGAGTGAATACATGTTTTAGGTCCATATGTGATATATAACATATATGACATATATGTGACCTTATAAAATGTAGTTCTTGGTTTTCTGTAGTTTTGTATCAATATTCTGAGAAAGTCACAAGTTTGCCATGGAAAAACAATCATTGGGTTTTCTTGGGAAATATAGGTAATAACACTGGAGAAGAACTGGAAATGTGAATGTCCTTAATTTAGTAGCATTTTCCTATGTAAATACAAAGGTTTTCATTAATGGAGGAAACACCGAGGCTTATTATGGTGGTGTTGCTTAGGGATGTGATTATTTCCACTTGTCCTTCCTTGTGAGCAAAAAAATTGCATGAGATTCAAATGTGCATCTTTGAGGACATTTTTAATTTCTTTACCTTCCTTTTTTGTCTTTAACACTGTGCTCTACATTAAGCTGTAGGAGAATATGTGAAAAAATAGTTTCTTGTGTCACTGAAAGAAAGTTTTAAACTTTTTTCAATTTATTTTTAAAATAGCTATATGTGTGTGTATATACAATATATATATATACACACACACACACATATATATATGCATGTATAGGACTCATTTTTCAAGAAAAAAATACAAAAACAGGGAAATACTATGTAGTAAACTGTTTCTACACTAGGATTCTCACTTCCATTCAGTAATGTGGCTGGACTGTACCAAGGTCAGTTGATCAGGTATTTTACCTAAGTAGGAAGATTGGTGAGTCTAAGATTCAGAACTTGCTGGCCTGGTGATATCAACCTGTAATCCCAGGATGGAGGAGGCTGATGTGGAAGGAAATTTGAGTTTGAGGCCAGCCTGAGTTACATAGAGAATCCCTGCTCCCCTGTCTTAATTCTCCAATAAATATAGATTTAGTGGCTGGAGATCTCTTATAAGCATTTGTTATTTATTTTCATAATGACAAGGCAAGAAGTCTCTGAATATTGCCGGCCTTTGTGTGCTAAATTCCTTGGATCTGGTTAATAAGTGAGACTGATATTTACTATGTTTTATTTTTTCTTTTGTTTCAGCTATGAATTTGTGAAATACCTTAGACAGCACATATGTAACACGCTGGGGTCTATGATTGAAGAAGAAATGGAAAAATGCACATCTGATCAGAACCAGGGAGAGGAATCTGGTTATGACACTGTTGTACAGCATGTTACCAAGAGAACCCAGGAATCCAAGGAGTGAGTATGACATAATAATTATGTTTATAGTTTATAATACGTATACCTCGTCACCCTGCAAGCCCTCTAACTTCCCCTTCTCCTGGACTCTTTCTATCTTGCTGACCTCTGCAGATACTCCAAAATCAAATCTCAGATGTAAAAATGAAAACCTAGGATCCACATATGAGAGAGAACGTGTGGAGTTTTTTTTGCTGGTCTATATGATACGTCATTTATTGTAGTATTTCCCAGTTCCGTTTTCCTGAAAATTCTATTTTTCTTTGTAGATGAATAAGATTCCATTGTACATAGGTGTCACAATTTCATTATCCATTCATCAATTGGTAGACATCGAGGCTGATTCCATTTCCTAGCTGTTGTGGATACAGCAGCAGTGAATATAGATGTGCAGATATCTCTGTAATGGAATATAGAGTCTTTTGGGTGTATGCCCAGAAGTTGCATGGCTGAAGCATATGGCAGTTCTAGTTTTAGCTTTTTGAAGATTTTCTACACTGATTTCCATAGTGGATGCACCAGTTTACATTCCTGCTAATGGTGGATGGAGATTTTTGCTTTCTTGGTGGTAGCCATTTTGAAAGGGGTGAGATGGAATTTCAAAGTAGCATTACTTTACATTTTCCCTAATAGCTAGCAATGTTGAACACTTTTTTTGGGGGGGGTATTTCAAGGCAGGGTTTCTCTGTGGTTTTGGAGGCTGTCCTGGAACTAGCTCTTGTAGATCTGGCTGATCTCTAAGTCACAGACATCTGCCTGCCTCTGCCTCCCGAGTGCTGGGATTAAAGGTGTGTGCCACCATCGACGGCAATGTTAAACACTTTAAAAGTGATTATTAGACATTGATTTTTTTTCTTTTGAGAATTCTCTGTTTGGGTTCATGGCTAATTTATTTCTTCGGACTTGCTGTTTGTTTTGGTGTTTAGTTTTTTGAATTCTTTGTATATGCTAGATACTAATCCTCTGTAGGTTGTATATCTGACAAAGATTTTTCTCCTATCATGTAGGTTGTCTCTTCACTTAATTGGCAGTTTCCTGTACGTTACATTTCACAAAATCTCATTTGTAGATACTACTCATTTTCTGAGTGATTCAGGTCCTATTCAGAAAACCTTTGCCTCTGCCTATGCCTTGAGGTGCACGCCCCTGTAGCTGTTTTAGAGAATCCGGTCTTATGTTGAGGTCCTTGATCTATTTGTAGTTGACTTTTGTGCAGAGAGGTTAATAAGGTTTTCGTTTCTTCTAAATGGAGAAGCTATTTTCCAGCCCCAATTTGAAGATGCAGTGTTTTCTCTCGTGTGTAAGCTTTGTGAAAAAAAAAAGTTTGGTAGTGTTCCTGCCTTTTCTATATTGTGGAATAGTTTGAGAAGCAATGGTGTTCTTCAAAGGTTTTATGAGATTCATCAGTGACTCAGACCAGCTGGGATTGAACTTTTTTTTTAGTTGGGACATTTTAAAGTATCATTTCAACCCCACTGCTTATTGTAGAGCTCTGTCAATTATTTACTTTATCTTGGTCTAATTTTGTAGTCACATTCATTTAGAAACTTATCCACTCTTTGTAGATCTTAGTAAATGATGATTTCAAGGTAAGACCTAATAATTTGGGTCTTCTGTTTCTAGTTTTGTCAAGGGTTTGTTAGTCTTGTAACTTCACTAATTTCTGCCCTTGTCTATTAAAAATATGTTATTGTTAACTGCCTGAGCATTTCATACATGCAAATAATGTATTTTGATCAGACTTACCCCCACTCCTGTGCATAACTCCTCCTAGATCCACCCCCTCATCTTTTCAGCCTTCCAACTTCTTTTTCTGTTGTTTGCTTTACGACCCCGTTGAGTACAATTAGTGCTACCCATATGGGTGTGGGGCCATCTCCTGGAGCATGGTGGACCTACCTGTGGTCACAGCTTTAAAGAAAACTGTTTTTCTCCCAGAAGCCATGAGTTGTCAGCAGCTGTTTAGCTACATTTAGGAGTAGTGAGCACCTCTCTCCTATGCTCTTAATTATTTATTTTCATCTACTGATTTTAGGTATGGCTTGTTCTTCTTTTTTTTAATGAGGTACATAATTATTTGTTTGTGATCTCTCTGATTTATTAATTTCAGTATTTGGAACTATATAATGTCTTAGGACTGCTTTAATTGTATCAAATAGACTTTTTTGTGCTGTATATTCAGTTTTTATTTGATTCTAGGAAGTTTCATTTCCTTCTTGATTTCTTTAATTTCCATTCATTATTATGTGGTGTATTGTTTAATCACCATGAATTTGTGTACATGTCAATCCCAGTTCCCTCTCCCTCCCTTTCTCCCCTGCACCCCACTGATTTCCTATCCCATCCCCTTTCTGTTCCCCAGTGAGGGTGAAGCCTTCCATGGGGATCTTCAAAGTCTGTCATATCCTTTGGAGCAGGGCCTAGGCTCTCCCCCATGTGTCTAGACTGAGAGAGTATCCCTCTATGTGGAATGGGCTCCCAAAGTCCATTCCTATACTAGGCATAAATATTGATCCACTACCAGAGGCCCCATAGATTGCCCAGGCCTCCTAACTAACACCCATGTTCAGGGGGTCTGGGTCAGTCCTATTATGGTTTCCCAGGTATCAGTCTGGGGTCCATGAGATCCCCCTTGTTCAGGTCAGCTGTTTCTGTGGATTTTTACAGCCTGGTCTTGACCCCTTTGTTCATTATTCCTCCCTCTCTGCAACTGGTTTCCAGGAGCACGACTCAGTGTTTAGCTGTGGATGTGCGCTTCTGCTTCCATCAGCTACTGGCTGAAGGCTCTAGGATGGCATACACACACACACACACACACACACACACACACACACACACACACACACACATATCAATCTCATTATTAGGGAAGGGCATTCAAGGTAACCTCTCCACTATTGCCTAGATTGTTAGTTGGGGTCATCCTTGTAGATCTCTGAACATGTCCCTAGTGCCAGATTTCTCTTTAAATCTATAATGGCTCCCTCTATTATGGTATCTCTTTTCTTACTCTCCTCTATTCTTCCTCATGTCTTCCCCTCCTCTTCTCCCCTTCTCTTTCTCCTAACTTCCCTGCCCCCATGCTCCCAATTAGCTCAGGGGATCTTGTGCCTTTCTCCTCTCTTAGGGTCCTCCTTGTTTCCTAGCCTCTCTGGCAGTGTGTACTATAGGCTGGTAATCCTTTACTCTATGTCTAAAATCCATATATCAGTGAGTACATACCATGTTTGTCTTTTTGTGACTGGATTAACCTCACTCAGGTTGGTTTCTTCTAGTTCCATCCATTTGCCTGCAAATTTCAAGTTTCCATTTTTTTTCCCCGCTGAGTAGTACTCCATTGTGTAAATATACCACATTTTCTTTATCCATTCTTTGGTTCAGGGGCATCTAGGTTTCTTCCAGGTTCTGGCTATTACAAATAATACTTCTATGAACATGGTTGAACAGATTTCCTTGTTGTGTGAATGCGCATCTTTTGGATATATGCCTAAGAGAGGAATTGCTCAATCTTGTGGTAGACTGATTCCCATTTTCCTGCGGAACCGCCATACTGATCTCCAGAGTGGCTGTATGAGTTTGCACTCCCACCAGCAGTGGAGGAGTGTCCCCCTTTCTTCACATCCTATCCAGCATAAACTTTCGTTGGCGTTTTTGATTTTAGCAATTCTGACAGGAGTAAGATGGTATCTCAGAGTTGTTTTGATTTGCATTTCCCTAATGGCTAGATGTTGAGCACTTTCTCAAGTGTCTTTCAGCCATTTTGGATTCCTCTATTGAGAATTCTCTATTTAGTTCTGTGCCCCACTTTTTAATTGGATTGTTTGGTGTTTTGATGACTAGCTTCTTGAGTTCATTGTATATTTTGTAAATCAGTCCTCTGTCAGATGTGGGGTTGGTGAATATCTTTTCCCATTCTGTGGGCTGCCTTTTTGTCTTGTTGACTGTGTCCTTTGCCTTACAGAAGCTTCACAGTTTCAGAAGGTCCCATTTGTTAATTGTCAATCTCATTGTCTATGCTACTGGTGTTATGTTCAGGAAGGTGTCTCCTGTACCAGTTCTTTCGAGGGTACCTACCACTTTCTCTTCTAAGAGGTTCAGTGTGACTGGATTTATGTTGAGGTCTTTGATCCATTTGGACATAAGTTTTGTGCATGGTGATAGATATGGATCTATTTGCAGTCTTCTACATGTCAGCATCCAGTTATGCCAGCACCATTTGTTGAAGATGCTTTCTTTTTTCCATTGTATAATTTTAGCTTCTTTGTCAAAAATCAGGTGTTTGTAGGCGTATGGTTCCATATCAGGGTTTTCAGTTTGATTCCATTGGTCTACCTGTCTATTTTTGCTGTTTTCAGGACTATAGCTGTATAATAAAGCTTGAAGTCCGGGATGGTGATGCCTCCAGAAGTTCCTTTATTGTACAGCGTTGTTTCGGCTATTCTGATCTTTTGTTTTTCCATCTATAGTTGAGTATTGTTCTTTCAAGGTCTGTGAAGAATTGTTCTGGGATTTTGATGGGGATTGCATTGAATCTGTAGATTGTTTTTGGCAAGATTGCAATTTTTACTATTTTGATCCTATCTATCCAAGAGCATGGGAGATCTTTCCATTTTCTGGTATCTTCTTTAATTTCTTTCTTTAAAGACTCAAAGTTCTTCTGGCAATTGTAAAGGGTGATGTTTCTTTGATTTCTTTTTGAGCCCATTTATCTTCTGTATATAGTAGGGCTACTGATTTTTTTTGAGTTAATCTTGTATCCTGCCACTTTGCTGAAGGTGTTTATCAGCTGTAGGAGTTCCCTGCTAGAATTTTTCATATCACTTATGTAAATATCATATCATCTGCAAGTAGTGAAAGTTTGACTTCTTCTTTTCCAATTTGTATCCCTTCACTTCCTCCTGTTGTCTTATTGTTTTAGCTAGAACTTCAAGTACAATATTGAAGAGGTATGGAGAGAGCCGATAGCTTTGTCTTGTTCCTGATTTTAGAGGAATCCATTG